ACCACACCATAATGGCATGTGATATTCACTTATTTTCCCTACCGGTTTGCAAATGTGAGAGAGAGCGCACACTCGCTTTGCTCACGTTACTTTGACCTGGGTACCTGAGAGACTGCCTCCTGCCGATTACCTCCCATAGACCGATTAGATCACACAGGTTAGGCCTTCTCCGGATCCCATCTGCCAGCCAGTGTCGGCTGGCGACTCCCCGGGGGAGAGCCTTCTCTGTCGCAGCTCCAGGCCTCTGGAACGATCTCCCCGTGGAGATCCGGACCCTTACTACCCTCCTGGCCTTCCGCAATGCTGTTAAGTTCTCGCTGCTCCAGCAGGCCGGGGGGCTTTCGAAATATCCAGCCCCCCCAGAAATTGTGACTGTTGTATATTTTAATATGTTGTCTTGTGTATTATCCCCCCTCCCTTGTTTTATTGTAAGCCGCCCAGAGTCCTTCGGGAGTGGGCGGCATACAAGACCAATAAAACGAAACGAAACGTTTGATTATAAAACTAATGTTCTAAAATTAATACCGGTAGTTATCTCTGTCAATGATTCTTAAAAAAATTAAGTAAGGCAGTAATACAGATTTTCAATGTGCTTTTGTCCTAGAGAGAAGGACCCATATGAACCGTAAAGTAGCTTTACCCCAACTCGAGAAAGAAAACCAAAAATGAAAACATAAGATGTAATTCAGTAAAATTCACACATGCTTATTTCAATAAAGTAAGCCCTTTGAATAGAAATGTTCTGAAGAAATGGAAGATTAGAAAAGTGACATCCAGATTTTCAACTTTCTGATATAGACAAATCGCCTTAAAAATGTTTGTATTTTAGCAAACATGGAAATGCTCCAAATAGAATGGTGAGTGCTAAAAAAAAAAGTGGAGCAGAATCAAGGGCAGGAAATGTTGCAGAAGATGACATTTGTTTATAAGTAACTAAAATCTTAACAATTTTGATGATTATTTTTTTAAAAAGACTTTAGACAGAATCCCATAGCAACTGTCCATGGAACTCATCCCATAACATTGATTGTAATGCTATTAATTAGAAATATGAGAACGGCCTTAGGTGCTTTGCAAAATTTAACTCTTGAGAGAGATTAACTTAATGGAAATAATATTTTCTCTTCTCTCTTCCACTAAGCTATAGATCAACCCTGCACCATTCAGTTGAGGAGCTCTGAAAGGCACAAGTGACTGCAAAGGAAGGATAAAAAGATAAGAAACTCATCTTTTTGAATGTCCTTGATCATGAAAGCCTACGTTCATTTCAGTTCCAGACCCTACTCCCAGGTAAATATTTATTATGATGCAAGCTCAGCCCATTTCTGATAAAGACTGGCAATTCACTTGGCTGAGATATGACCTCCAAGCAGGCCACTTCTTGACATCAAAGGAGTTATAGAAGACCAGTAGAGCAGGCAACTGTTATAGCCCACTCAATTAATCTTTGCAAGATATAAGCAAGATTGAAGAACTCTACTGTCTGTAAGTTTCATCATCACATGAACTGATCTTCAGTAGCAGAAATTGTCTTTATGAGATTGTTCCTATAGAGCAGTGTTTCTCAACCTTGGCAACTTGAAGATGTCTGGACTTCAAGTCCCAGAATTCCCCAGCCAGCATTCGCTGGCTGGGGAATTCTGGGACTTGGAAGTCCAGACATCTTCAAGTTGCCAAGGTTGAGAAACACTGAGTTA